CCTCAAAACAACAGCACAATTCTATGCATGTTCACTCAAAATTCAGTCCAAATGTGTTCAACAGATCATATCCCCTTGTCAGCGCACTTGGACTTGCAGCCTCAGCAAGCAGTAACCTGAGTGCTCTTTCACAAATGTCAAACGTATGTCAGGTCATTGTAAAACATGGCTAGGAGGCCATCCCCAATGCTATTGCATTTAAAGTGCATTACATGTGTTTGCAAACATTTTCTCCACTGATAAAACAAATAGGAAAGTTTTCAAGGTGACTCATCTTCCTGTGCCAGCCATTACATTCTGACTGCATGGTAGACATTACAAATAAAGAAAAAACTAACAAAAGGAAAAAAAGGGGGGAAGATGGTGTAATAACAAAAACTAAAGATAAAGTGACACCTTCTGTTTAGCTGCATAACTACATTTAATTTTTGGTGCATAAATTTGCTCCTACCACAATTCCTGCACCTAGGCACAAGACTTCTAAATTCCTTTGCCTCTGGGCTCTTTATCAAGTTGTACCTAGTCCCTAAGATTTGTTAACCTCACAAAAGTGCTTCTGCACACGTACATGCTCAAACTAAGCCTCCCCACCTTGCACCATTCTTGCTTATCAAGCATAGCCTTCAGTCAACTGGATCAGAACGCCATTGAGATTGGTACCCGATGTACATTTGCACTGATACATCCAAGAAGGCACGTCTGTGTTTGTGGGACAGCATTTTTCTTCTGGTGGTGGTTGTTGTCACAGATCATATTTTCACTGGGCACACAATTTGTTTTGCATAAATGTACTTTTTTGTAACTAAATGTGACAGTGTCGTCAAACACTAGTCACACCCCAAAAGCCCATGTTTTGCTGCACTGTACTTGAGAGCACATGGCACTTCACATAAAGTAATGACAGAACGTAAATCCCAGAGCAGCCTTCTTCAATCTGGGGCCCTCCAGATGTTTTAGGCTTCACCTCTCAACAACCTCCACCACTATGCCAGGATTGCTGGCAGCTTTACTCCAAAATATCTGGCTGGGAAAGGTTGACCATTTTGCTTTACATAGCCAATTTCAAAGTGAAAGAGACAAATCTCAATTGAACAAATGGGACAGATCACTGGTTCTTAACCGAATGCCATAATAAACACATTTCAGCTATTTTAAGTATATTGCTAATGATTCTAAAGGCAGTTGCTGAACATCCCTTTTAACAGCTGTAATCCTATACCCACTTGCCTAGAGTAAAGACCAGTAAACTCTTCTGAGCAGACATATGTAAAATTGTCTTGTAAAAGATCTAACTATGGGGAAAAAATGAAATGGCCAAATTCTTCCCTTGGGGGAAGGCAAAGGCTTAGGAGTTACACATAAGCAGACCTAAGGACAAACAGCACAGACATGAGGCTAAAGTATGCCTGAAAATGCAGAAGAAATGTTGCATTAAATTTTCAAAATTCTTTTTTGCAATTTCTTAATTTAGTTTATGATTGGATAAGTTTTCATTGTATGCTTTTAATGATGTTAGCTTTATTGAACAATTCTACGGAATTGGCAAGTATATGTAACCATCTATTTAATCTTTTATGCATTTCTAACCTACCCTATCCTCCTAAGATTTTAAGACATTTATGTATAGAAAGCCATGAATAAATAATACATGCACTGAACATAGAAAAACAGGTATCTGCCTTTACTACGAAGTCAAAATATATCAGAAGCAGCAGTAAGAGGAAAAGCCTTAAATATAAAGAATATACGGTGTCCTCCTTGGCTCCTGATATTGATGTATGAAGTGGGTTAAAATGGCATGTCTGTGGCCCATAAAAGCACCACTGGGCACTGGAGGAGGAGCTGTGCCCAGGTCAGTGGAATAAGCTGCCAGTCATTCTCCTGCCAGAACGATGCAATGGCGGGGAAGCCCAATTGAGGAGGAGTTGGCTACTGATCCCCTGTATCCAAGGGACGTCATTCCACCAGATTGGCCTGATCTGGTCCTATCAGCTGCACCCATTATCTGATGACTCTGCCTGGTGGGATGGTGACTACAAAGATCCAACGGCCCAAAAGTGCAGTTAAGTGCACAGGGGCACGGACACACACACACACAGGCTGTCTTTCAGCAGGTGATTCTCCTTCCCAGCCCTAATTAGACTCTTTGACCCCAAGACAGTTTTTTAAATGATCCACTAAAGTGCAGGCAGAAGGAAGCAGTAAAGTTCAAGCAACAAAACAGGGCCACGAGAATTCTCCGGTCTGCTTTCTTCCCTCCACAACCTCTGGCAATTCCCAAGCCTGGTGGAAGAAATATGATTATGGGGGATAGACTCAATATATGTTCAGGTGGAGAGAAGAAGTGGTACTTTAAATGGGTACTTTGCATCCCACATTTCCTCTGTAGATGTATTTGAAACATGGGTCTGCCATCAACATATGTAGCTTGGGCCTGTAAAATTAAGGGCACAACTCCTAGCATTCCCCAGTCAGCCATGTCACACTTTTCCCTATCTTAAACATCCGTCAGTCTGCATCCTTAAGCATCTGATAGATTTTGCCAGGAAATTGACCAATGTATCAGTTGTTTCTGCATTATTAGGGCAATGCAGAATGGTTGTTTTTAAGTGCTGCATCAATGCATCGCCATATGACCTCAAAGGAAGCGCTTTTTAGCACCCCTTTGTGTCTTCCCTCAATAGCAGCATTTGCTCAAATGAATCCTAAACAGAATCCCTCCCCAGTTATCTGTGAGTTCATCTTAAAGTAATGTCATAAAATAGAAACAGTTATGAGTCTCCAAAACAAAATGCTTACATCAGAACCACAAGCAAGGGAAATTTTACAAGTCTGGTGTGAAAATGAACTCAGTTTCTTACAACACCATCCGAGGCAGTGAAAAGCTGCATGAGGGAATGGCTGCCTTGATCAAAGTCACCCTTTTAATCTCTAATCAGTGTTTTAATTCATTAATCCAAACAGATACCCTATTAAATGCTTTCAATCCCTTCTCAAAGGCAGGAACAGAGACACTTTTATATGGCTGGTATTTAAGAGGCTCAGCCTTTCTTTTCTTGCATGAAAAGAGCTCCACATTAAAGCCAAATGCATTAAAAGTAACATTAAAAGCCATCAGAAACCACTGCATCCAATCGCCAGACAGTTAGTAGAAATAGGTACTTTTCCCAACTCTTGGGTGTGGTGGCTACAGCTGTACACAATACTCTAAGTGCAATTGCATTAGATTTGTAGAAGGGCAGTAGGATATTAACATTTGTATTATGAATTCCTTTCTTAATTTTGCTCAACGTGGAATTCACCATTTCCACAGCAGCCACACACTGGGAGACATTTTCATCAAGCCGTCTACCTCAGTCCCAAGGCCTCTTTCTGTTTTATCTTAACATTAATATGCTGCCCCATTGCCAGCGGCTCTGGGTGGCTTCTTTCTTGGTCAGTCACCTTAGCTCGGATCCCATCAGCTTATGCTTCCAGCTGGGATTTTTGACCCCAACATGCTTCACCTTGCGCTTGCTTACACTGAACCATGTTTGCCATTTTTATGTCCATTTTCCCAGTCTGGGGAGATCCTGGTTCCTTTCAGATTTAACTACTTTAAATAATTTGGTGTCATCAAATTTGGCCACTTCACTGCTCACTCCAAATTCCAGATCAATGATGGATAAGTGAAAAAGTAGGGCCATTTATCCCTACTCTCTATTTTCTATTCTTTGACCAGATACTCATCCATAAGAGGACCACCTCTCTTATTCCGTGCCTGCTAAGTTAGCTCAGCAGTCTTTGGTGAGGGACTTTGTCAGAGGCCGTTTGGAAATTAAGTAAACAATGCCTTCACGGATCAGCCCTGTTTGCATTTTTTTGATACTTTCACAGAACTCTTAAAGGTTACTGAGATAGGATTTATTTGTGGAAGCCATGTGGATTCTTTCCCAGCAGGACCTATTCTTCTATATGCTTACTGATAATGTTTTCAGTCAATTTACCCAGAACAGACATTAAATCAGTCCATCATTTCCCAGATCCTTTTAACAATTTGGTCTTGCATTGGTCATTCTCTAGTCCTCTGGTACAAAGGCTGATTTTAGGGACATGCTACACATTTTTATTAGAAAGTCACCAATTTCATAGTTTGAGTACTTTAAGAACCCTAGAATGGATACCATCTGAGGTTGGTGATTTATTAACTTTCAATGTGTTTAGTAAGGCTGAAAACATTATGCTTTGTCACCACAATTTGCCTTAGTTCTTCAGACTTTTTTTCCTGAAAACAACAGTTCAGGACCAGGTTATCTGTACTGTATCCAATGCTGAGAAGACAAATGAAAATAATGTATTCAACTTGTCAGCAATCTCCTCATTTCCTCTAATACTTCTTCAACTACGTCATTATTCAGCAGTCCAACTGCCTCCTTGGCTAGATTCTTGCTTTTGATGTATTTATAGATTTTTTAAAAAATGTTGGACTTAATGATGCTAGAGATGTGGTCCTTAAAATCCTTTTCTGTATCTCTTATTTTCCATTTTTGAGGCCTCCCTGATTTTATTTTCCATTTCAAGGTCACTCTTAGCATTCTAGTCTGGGAGAAAATAGACTATTCCGAGTACCAAATTAGTTCTGGAGCCACAAAATGTCACCCACAGTGCTTTTGGGGAGGAGTTCGTGCCCTTTAGGTTTTCCAGTTTGCGACACACTGCCCTCCCTCCTAACACCAACACCATGTGCCAGTATAACCTTACCAGTCTCTTCTATAAAGTTCATATCCAGAAATGACCATATCTCTCTAGCTCAAGTTTAGGAAGCTGGATCTAAACAAAGAAAGTACATACCTTGCTCCGAAAAAAAAGTTTCTATCCATAAGGAAAGTTATTTTACACAATAATTGATTAAAACACATATGATGGTTCATTTTTTTTGTTTGTTTTTGTTCAACTGGGGTTTCTTTAATGAGGTTGTAGCTACAATTATTCCTGAGCTTGACCAGTTGGAAGAACTTTACCTGGATCTAGGTGTGTGAAAGATCCAATGACAAAATCCAATGTAGAAACAGCTAGTAGCAAGAGGAGAAGCAGCTGGAGACGGATTATCCATTTCACACCAGCAAGGTTAATTCCAAGCAAGCCCAGCAGGACAGCAAGTGAGATGCCTCTTACTGCCCAAATGTTACGGAGGTTCAGGAGGTCAGAGATAGATTCAGCAAATCCAGTAATGTACATTGCACCTGCAACACACTGAAGGACAGTTTTACTTGCAAAAATGCTAAGCAGTGGATTACAAGATGCCTGCAAGGATGTTGAAGATTTTATTTTCATATTTATTTTAGTATCACATGGTCTGTAAGTCCTTTGCAGTGGCTTTTGAAAGATCAAACAATACAAGATAAAAATTGAAAGAAAAAGTGAATAGAACATTTTTTGTGATTAAATAAAATGGAGAGCAGGAGAACCTTGTACGCTGCCTTGGGTACCTTGCGAAAGGAAGCAGGGGGGATAAATATAATATAATAATGGATAATAATAACCAATTTATAATTGTTAAACAACAACCTAGTGACCTGATTTGCATGTCACATTAAGCTATGGTAAGCTGTCACCATGGGTAGATTCACGGAATAGGAGAGGTGGAAGGGGCCTATATGGCCATTGACTCTACCTTGCTGCTCAATGCAGGACTCCAAGTTAAAGCATGAACTTTTGTTGCAGTTGGCTCTGTGTCACACAACCAAGCCACATTGAGAACCCATGGCCTGCAGTAGAGTGGTTTAGGGGGCTTGCTCTCAGGGTGGCTTGCTGTGACATCCAGCCTGGAAGAGTCTTTATGTCATTTGAATTTGACAAATGGCTTTTCTACACAGAGGGCTTATAGAGTGCTTGGGTGCCACACCAGCTGCTGCCATATCAATATAACTTAAAATGAAGGTCCTACAAATGTGCACACTTGCAAAGGACTCAACAAAGGACTAAACAAACTAAAAATAAACCAACAGAAAGAATGCATTTGCACAAATCTGAATAACTGAAAAACCCAGTTTGCAGAAATTGGAAGGACTGATTTAAAAGAAAAATACCAATCCCAGTTGTATAGTCTGAAGCACATTTAGAAAATACACTGATCCTATTTACATTCATTGAAGGACCAAAAACAGTCCGACAACATCAAACTTGCTCGGAAAATGAGCAGCAATTGGGAAGAGGGCAAGTTTCCCTCTGTAAGAAATATAAGGCTCTGAGGTTTGCAACTTTTAGATTTGACAGCTATACAATGATTGGAGGTTTGGGGAAAGGGAAAGCTGGGCTAATTTAGCAGCCATGTCATGAGCCTGTTTCTCACATCTGGTCAAAATGTAAACAGCCATAGCTGGATGCAATTTGTATGACACGTATGGGGAATCCCAGGAGGTCATGGAGCACATGTTGTCATAGAGTCAATAAGCTTGATGAAAGAGGCCAGGACTGATATTTTCAGTCAAGAGAGTCAAGCTACAGAGAATCTGCCACCCACTCAGGAATCGCTGCTTCAACTTAATCAACATGTTATCTGTATGAATGGAATATGGGTCATGAACCACAGCTGGATCCATGTCTGGCTTTTTGGCTGAACCAAAATGAAGAAACTATGGATGCCGATTTGGATATTCCCAGAGGCCTTTAAAGCTTGCAGGACACTGATCAAATTTTCCTTTGAGGGAAGCTGTAAGAATAAAGATACAACCTACACCACATATCACTTTGCAAATGTACAAAAAGGAATGTATACAATAGTCATGTAAATATTAGGGATTATGGTTTTATCAGGGTAAAAGATTCTTCTCTATGATTAGCTAGGACAAACTACACTGATCCAAACCAGATCATCTCACCCTTTTTTTTTTCTTCCTTTCGTCTTCATTTTCAGTGGTCTTGGGTATCCTGTCATACTTGAATACTACCAAAAATATAAATCAGCATGGCTCCCAACCTAAATTTAGTTCAAAGGGCTAAAAATACCAAGCAAACTGAAATAATTTGGTTCATTTATAAACTGCGTAACTGCAAGGAGATACAAATATGCTAACCCTCCAGGGTCTCCTCCCTCAAGGCTTAGGAGCCAAATTCCTTTTAGGGTGTTTTGTTTATGAGCAGTAATTTTTGCCTGGAACTTGGACAACAGATTTAAGCAAAAAGAGCATCCCCTTTGCAGACTTATATGTAAAACCTTGTTTTAATTTCTATACTGTGGAAGATTTTTAAAATAAAGCACTTGGTTTTGTATTGCCTCCAAGCATTGCTAGGCCAATATCAATGTCCAGCAAGCCAACTGCAATTCTAAAAAGCTGCCCATTCATAATTCTGCAACTACATACCCTACTTGAAAATCCTCCTGACAAGCTCAACAGAACAAGGCTGGTATATTACTGACTTGAGCAACAACTAGAAAAAGTAAATGGAAAGTTTTATGAATCAATATGTTTTCTCCAAAGACAAGTGTTCCTACCTGACCAAATATATAAAGGAGGCCAATGGTCCCTCCAACTTGACCTCCAAGGACCGTAGAAATCATTGAATAGACTCCTCCACTTCCAATACTGCACCGCTCACAAACTCCAATGCCAGACAAGACAGTTACTAAGGCCACCAAGATGACAAAGGACACCAAAAACATGCCCATAAGAATACCAGTGTTTCCCTGTAATGGAAGGAAAAACAAAACACTCAAGTTTAAAGAGGGAACGTCAGAGAGCGATTTAGTAAGCACAGGCAAGCCACCAGATGAACCACGCGGATCATCTGTTGTTGCGGTAAGTGCTGCAGATGGCTCCCCACCAACACACTTCACCACTATTCAGGACTCGGGCATGGAATCACTTGTCTATGCTCTGCAGTTCTGGGTGCAGGCCACTTTCAGCTGTGCGACTTTTGGCAATATACACTGAATGTCTAGAGTCGGAAAATGTTGGTATTTGACAGTGGCAGTATAAATAACTAACCGAGAGATGTGTCATCCACTGCTAATACATGTAAAAATAATCTCTCTTGATCAAAAAGCCAACGTAATTTGGAATCTACATTTCAAAAACATTTCAACTAACCACACCACTTAAGACACATTAGTTCCTTTGTTTTGGGAGTGTGCTACAAAAAATGCAGTATTTTCAGACTTGATGTAAACAGTGTGCCTTATTTGCAACTGTTAAAACAGAGTTCACATGAAAGCAGTTGTAGTTTCTTAATAATTATTTAAGCTTATTCAAATAATTTCCACATCTGAAAAAGCAGTATGTGTGTACTGTGCATACCTGATTTTCTGAGCAACAAAAAGGGACCACATGGCTCTGAACGAAACTTGACTATAGCTACATCTTTCACAAAGATGTATATAAAACAGTAATTTATAGAAACCACTAAATGATGGGGATTTTTAATATGATCAGCTTGTAGAGTAAGTTATATTCCCATGTCTCCACAGCTTTTATCATACACAAGCCACATCTGATGGTCAAATGTCATCAGCATGCAGATGCTAAATAAAAAGTGACCTCTTCAGCCTTTCCTCTGAACTTTAAAAAGCCCCATTGTGAATGAACTCCAGCATTTTGCAACTTCCAATTCATCTTCAAAGCGCTGTTCTTATCCTGCAGACATGGTGCTCCTTCCTGTGATGACTCTCAAGGAGGAGCAGTGGTTCTCAGTTCCTTTTGATTGCTAATTGTTTCATTGCACAAAAGAAGTTACGTCGCACTTGTGCCACCCGTATATCCATGGAGCATCCACTATCCCTTCCCATTGTGAAAAATACAAGATTATTTAGTACAGACGAAATTGATAACACTCTTCATTCGGTCTTTAATTAAAAAAACAGATGCAAAGTTAGAATGATGATTCCTTAAGAAAAAAGCTGCTTAGGGAAGGAGCCTGAAAATGTTGCCTACCAGCAGATGTGTGAATGCTGAATGCTGGCATCTTTCCCCCTTGATGTGATGCAACTGTCATTTAAACCAGCAGGAGGCTAAACTGAAACAGAATTTCATGAAGGCAACAACATTCCGCATGCATATAACTTTAGAGGGAAGAAAGCAGAAGGGGCAGGAAATGAGATGAAGGACCGCGAGAGAAGAAGCAAAGCCCTCTCATTATGGCAAGAAATAAACAAATGGAGGTTCATCAGATACTCACTAAAGGCAAGATCCTATGTATGTTTCGAAAGGAAAAAGGCCTACAACTTGTTTGTTTATTATCTGATTTCTAGCCTGCCCCATTAGCCACATGGCTTCCTGGGTGGGTTACAAGCAATAAAAACACATAAAAACAGTATAAAACCTTAAAAACATGCAATCAGATAAATAACAATAAAAGCACACCCTATCATGTCTTAACCGAAACAACATAAAAGGCATACCACATTAAAATACACACCATTAAAACAGATTAGCAATTAAAACACTAGCAACATAAAAAGGTCTTTGCCTGGCGCCGAAAAGAATATAAAGAAGGTGCCAGGCGAACCTCTCTGGTTTGTCCAACATCCACAGGATTGTGCCCTAAAAGTAATCTGTGTTAGTGCAATAGAGTGTGCGTGAGTGGGGGTGGGGAGAGAGACCAATTTTACAGCAGGTAGTCCAGCAGGTAGCAGCAGGGTCTGCTTTTTAATCTACTTACTTCTTAACCTTATTAGTCACCCTGTAGTAACAAATAACAAAAACAAAGATAAAAAGCCACATCCATGTGAAGATCATGGCAGTTTGTGGCAAAATCAAGGGAAAGTGGCAATTAGAGAAAGGCATCAAAGGTGTGTGATATCAAGCTCTATGCTGGACCTGCCCTGGCCTCTGCAGAAGCGATCAACAGCTGAAATTTTGCAGGAAAGCATATTCAAATCCCTGCCCAGCTAAGAAGCCAGCTGAGTGGCTGTGGACTAGTACCTATCTCTTGGCCAACCTGATACCCTCCAGATGTTTTGGACAACTCCCAGAATGCCTTACCATTGATGATGGTGTCTGGAGCTGATAGGAACTGAAGGCCAAAAGACCTGGGTGGCAGCAAGCTTGGGAAATCTGGCCTAACCTGATTTGCCAGGATCGCTGTGAGGCTAAAGCACTGCCATGCTCTCTGCTGAGGAATGGCAGAATACAGATGCTGCAAGAGGGGATGCTATGGCAATAGCACAACACCTTCACGCCCTGCATACTGAACTGTTCAATAAAAGGAAAGGACGAGAGCCACCAAGTGCAGCGTCTGCACAGTGGCCGCTGCACAGCATCCTTTGCTGAGACTCACAGGATCTCTGCAAGCCCTCGTTGAGGACACCTCCTCAGCGACATCGAAAGGTCTAAATTGCTTTCTGGGGGCACTAAACGCATCTTTCTTCTCTGCTACTCAGGTATTCCTTTAAGACCACCTCCTCATGAGAGCTTTAGGATGGAGAGAGGCCTATTATGTCCTAGCTCCTCCCCACTCAAAGGCAGAGGCCACAGAAGCCAACCTGAAGGGTTTGCTTGTATTTTTCGCCGCCTAGTGCACAAGCCACACATTTGTGGAAATAAGCGACTAGAAGTTATATGAATGCAGCAGAATAAAGGTGCATTTTTACACAGTGACTAGTATCTGTAGAACTTTGTAGCTATCATCTGCATCACCGCCACTGATTTGGTGCTTGACCAACACAAACATTAATATTTCACTCAACCCTCAAGAACAGGACAAGGACCGCACAGACTGACCTTCCCCAACCAGATGTTCTCCAGATGCATTGGACTACAGCCCCCATAATCCAAAGTCAGTATGGCAAATGGCCATCGTGGGCACTATAACCTACCTGCAGGATGCTGTCCTTGGCATTTATACCACCAAAATGTACATTTTATTTTCCTTCTGTGCACAACTCATGTTTATTCCTCTCTGTCTCACTTTTTTTAGTAGGTCCCCACTTTGTCAACATCATTTTGAATTCTAATTCAATCCACTTCTCAAAGGCAGGCTTCACAGTGCCTGTGCATTTGGTCTCCCTGAAGTTTTTACAACACAGAAGAATTTTATTGAAGGAGGCGGATTCCTATGAAAGGAGTTAAATATTGGGGAGAGAGTTGCAGTTGCTCAATAAAAGGAACTTTACAGCACAATGGCTTATAAATAAGGATGTAAATATAAATAGGTCCCCATCCCAAAGAACAGATGTAAGTTCACAGAAACATAGAACATAGAAACTGAATGAGTCAGAAGGGGTCTCCTGGGCCATCTAGTCTGACCCCCGGCTCCAGCCAGCTCCGCTCATGGCATGTCTAGCCTGTCCTTGAACACCCTCACCGATGGGGCCTCAAGCACCTCCCATGGAAGCCCATTCCATACCCTTGGGGTCCTAACTGTCAGGAAGTACTTCCTGGCATCCAAATTGAACCTTGGTTCCTTGAGCCTGGCTCTGTTGGAGCGCAGCCTGCCTTCCTCTGCTGGGGAGAACAAGCCTCTACCCGCCTCCATGTGACACCCCCTCACATACCAGTATGTCCCCAACAGATCCCCTTGGAGTCTCCTCTTCTCCAGGCTGAAGAGACCCAGTTCCCCCTGTCCCTGTGATTTCACCAGGACCTTCAAGGGAAAAGTGCTAGAAGCAGAGTCCAGGAGGAGGGCTCAGGCCACCACACTAATGGAATGCCTTGCCTTGCAATGTGGTGTGTGCACAGTGCGTCAAATCAGAGTATTACACAGGCCATGCCTGCTACCTTGGCAACAACTATCTTCATGACAGTCCAGCACTTGACAGAGGTGCAACTGGAAGTGCTCCAGGCCAGCCTATTACTGCACACTTGCCCTCCCTCATTCACGAAACATTATGGGCTGTCCAGACAATGTTCTGCTTTTCTTTGCAGCCTTCCTATGTTTTCTCACCACTTCAGTCTTTTTAACAAGCACCTACACCAATAATGCAGGAAAGATGGAATCGCTGTACAACTCCTTTTAATGGGCAGCATTAGCTGTCTGCCTAGAAATATCTTTGGAACTGCATATTGGCCACCAAAGCAATTAGCTCTGTCAGTGCAAAACTACATGCTCAAAACTGGTAGTAATGGGATTGGTAGAACCATTTATACCACTGGCAAGGTATGAAATGCTCCTGAAGCAGCTTATACTATGCAAGTTGTTTTCTCCCTAATTACCACCACCCCACCTTCCATCATGAAATAGAAGGACCAAAAGGTAATCTAGTCAAATTATCTTACTGGCATGCAGAGCTGCCCCACCTGACCCTCCAGAAAATGAGTTTGTGCAAACCATACTAGACTGTGGTCCAAGGAAAGGCTAGTGGCACAAAAAGGGTGCATATAATATGAATGGCTTCAGGTGATTCAGATCAGAAAATACAGTCAACTTTGCCTGCAGGGCAAAACGCTGATGCCATAATATTTTGGTATAAAACATGCAAATTTTTTGTCCTTTGGGCAAAAAATACAGGGCAAAATGTTAACACATTTATTTACTCCCACTGCAGTCTTACTTAGGTTGTTGAACTAGGCTGTCTGCCAATGTTCTTGTCTATTTCACACTTTTCATGGTATTTTGTAAGCATGAGGCTTAAGAAACAAATAAACCAAAACTGAAAATGAATACAAGGTACAAGCTATGCAGAGCTCTATTAAGGACATTGTCAGACACATTGTGCAAGTATTTGCTTGAGTAAATGTCACAGTGCAAAAGAAAGATGGTAATCTTTATCAATGTAGATTATAGTGGCAGAGAAAGGGCAGCTACTGGTCAGCACAGAAGACGCTGGCAAAGGATGCTTCCCAGACAATGGCAGTGACACTCAAGCTTTCTCTTGTTAATATTGTGCAGAAAAAGACAATGGTAAAACACTTCTGAATATTTCTTACCTTGCCAACCTATAGTAAAGCAAATCCAAAAGAAAATAGGGCCAGAAGACAAATATGAATAGCACGATTGCTAGTGCTGCAACTAGATTAAAACCAAAGGAAGTCTAGCACATTGTATGAACAGAGGTGGAAGTGTAATGCTGCACAACACAAACAATTGCAAAGTGGAACATGAGAAATATGAATAAAGACTAACTTGAATCTTAAAGCAAAAAATGGAATGGTTAACTATTGCAGTACATGGTGTGAATGAACTATATGGACTGGAATAGGACATTTGCAATCAGACAAACACAAAATATTTTCTTTGGAAGTGACAACTCAGAAGAAACCAAACGGCTCTAATACAGAGGCAAGAAGTAGTACAGACAGTAAAAGGCTATGACCAAATAATGTCAATCAGATTTTTTGGGAAACCTATCAACATAACCATTATTCCAGTCTATGTTCTATCAACAGGTATTGAAGCATAAATCTAGTTTTTTAAGCAGGATCCACGTGGAAATCACTAACATCTAGGCTGTCCCCTACCTCCAGCCAACTCCGCTCATGACATGTCTACCATGTTTATGTCCAGCTTATCCTTAAACACCCTCACTGATAGGCCTTCAACCACCTCCCATGGAAGCCCATTCCATGCCCTTGGGGTCCTAACCATCAGGAAGTACTTCCTGGCATCCAACTCGAATCTTGGTTCCCTGAGCTTTGCTTCATTGGAACGAGTCCTGCTCTCATCTGCAGGGGAAAACAGGTCATGACCTACCTCCGCGTGACACCCTCACACGTATCTGTATGTCACTAACAGGTCCCCTCTGAATCTCCTTTTCTCAAGGCTGAAAAAAGCCAGTTCCCTCAGTCTCTCCTCATATGGCTTACCCTGCAAACCTTGTGGCCCTTCGCTGCACCGATTCCAACCTTGCTATATCCCTCTTGTAATGTGGGGCCCAGAAGTGAACACAATACTCCAACTGCAGGTGCACCAGAGTCGTATAGAGTGACAGTAATACTTTTCTCAATCTAGAAGCTATGCTTCTGGCTATAAACCAAGGATCACGTTCACTCTCCACTGCCGCGTCACACACTGCTGACTCATGTTTAGCCTGCAGTTGACCAGCACCCCAAGATCCTTTTCACAAGTGCTGGTCAACTGCATTCACAATACTGAATTCAGTTAACCATGAACCAGAAGAATTGTAGATTAAAACTAGTGGTAGTATTAGGGAAGACTGCAAAATGGCAATTCCTGTAGGGAAAAGGAAAACTCAAAAGGATGTTGAAGGAAACACTCACACTTGCTAAGGCCAAGTGAGAAGCAAAAACAAAGTGTAACAGAAATAGGATCAGAATCCTGAATGTAACTTTTCAGCAACTATCATGCAGAGACAAAAACAATTTCAATGACCAGAGAAAGAGAAAGAACAGCAAAAGAGGAAAAACAAGAAAGCTCTTCCAGAAGATCCAAGAAACCAAAGGTAAATTCAATTCCATGCTATCTGACCAGGATAAAATACAAAGAATGTGAAAACACTACACAAAAGCATCATACAAAGGAGATAAAAGGATAGCAGACACCTTCAGAAAAGAATCCTACGAAAAACAGCCTGCAATATTAGAAAATGAAGTCGTGACATGGAAGCTGTTCTGAAAGAGCTTGGACAAAATACTGTATCCAGAGTAGCTGGAGTACCAAAACAACTATCCTAAGATGCAGAGACTGAATCTGTCCAAACCCTAAAAAGAATATGCCAAAAATATGGAACACAGAACAGTGGCCCCCAGACTGGAAAAGTCAGCACACATTACAATCCACAAAAAAGGAAATGCTAAGGAAAGCAGCAACTACAGGGGCATTGCACTCATTTCCCAAGCAAGCAAAGGGATGCACAAGGTGTTGCATCAAAGAATTTTACCACATATGGAGCAAGAAATGCCTGGCATTCAAATGCGATTCTTAAAAGGAAGAGGCAGCTGAGAATGTATTGCAAATATATGCTGACCACAAAGAATTTCAAAAGTAGAACATTCTGTGCTTTATTGATTATGACAAAGCCTTTGCCTGTTTGGCTCATGAGCTGCTATGGATGTCCTGAAAGAAATGGGAATGCCTCAGCGCTTGATTGTCTTGATGCATAAGCCAGAACTTGCCCTGGAAGTGAAAATGATTAAACTGAGGTTGATGAGAAGGCAAGACTCACTGCAGAAGACAAAAATGCCAAGGAAAGTACAAAGCAGAAGAGGAAGGGGCAGGTCAAACATGAGATGGATCAATTCTATAAAGGAAGCCACAGCCTTGAGTTTACAAGATCTGAGCATGTCTGTTTAGGACAGAACAATCTGGAGTGCATCCATTCATGGGGTTACCATAAATCAGAGATGACTTGATGGCATGTAACAGCCACAATTCCATATAAATTAGTTGTTAAAAGAATAGACCTAAAATCACCTTAAGCAAAACAAGCAGCAGCAGAGTTAAGTGTTACTTAGTCACCCATACTTACTACCAGCCACCCTGTCCTCAGAAAGAGAACAACTCCAAAGATGTTGATCATGCAAGAGGTAAAGACTCCATCCCATGTTCCAAAGAGGACAGGTTCCCAAACAAAGAGATCTATCTTCCACCATGGCTTGTTGTGCATCTGGGAACTCTAAAAGAAAGTAGAACGTGCCAGTTAATTTCTAGGCATAATACCAAAGAGAAACAAAAGTATGTTTTGAAAACAAAGAGAAACGTAACTTATACTAAGGATGACAGAACCTGCCCTGTTCTTGACCCAAAATACTTTATTTCAGGGAACAAGAAGCATGGTTTTATGTAGGATAGTCATACTTCCCAAATTCCACTGTGGTTGTTACAAACTCTAGACTTCCAAACCCTACTCAGAAACTACATTTCACGGAATTTTATGAAACTCTGGACATGGCAAAGGCTCTGTCTCTTACCCCACACTGCCACCAAATAAAAATAAAAATGAATAGCCTCATAGTAAATCCATTTTTCTGCAAATCGCACTCCCTGCTTTTGCTCCTGGTGAGATTGTACACTTTATAAAGATAATATATTGTGATTGGTCTGTATTCAGAAAACTAAAAACAAATTTGCACCAGTGTCAGAGGAACTGTTCAATTTATAAGTTCACACTTAAAACCAACGAATGAGCAAGCAACCTGAGCTCTCTCCATTACATTGTTCCAACTACCTTGCAGTGTTTTAGAAGGCAAAACTCAATGGCAAAGAACCTTCTCAGCATACCTGTTGTGCTTCTTCATGAAAGAGTTCCTGTATATGCCCATCAGTCCTCATGCTGGTGCTGCTCCTGGGCAGAAAGAGCCTATTTTTCACATTAAAGCTGTAGCCAGACAGTGCTGCCATAACGACAAAGATAAACCACCAGGGATAGCGCTCAAGGTCAGCTATGATGCTCAGGTGAGTGCCTGCAGAGCTGCTGAGGTACGTGCAGAAGAAACTTCATTGCTTTCCTTCACCTGATCTAGTGAGAAAACAGAGTCACACTGTCGTCACACTCACAGTGTTGGGAATGAAAGAGGCAGTTCTTGGCACACTTTCCAGGGCCAGGGTGGCACAAGCTCTTCAGATGAGGCCTGGGAAATGCAGTCTGCAAACACAGAAGGTGGAGGAAGGAGCGCTTCTCTCAAGGTCACTGTCTCCAGGTGCTCAGGCAGACCCCGGGAACTGACAGGGGTGGGGAGTGCAGGGAGGGGGCATGGGAGAGGAGTCTGGCCTGATCCCTGACCGCATGTCATGGCACTGGGAGAGAAAGGGGAGCCAACTCGAGGGCCTGCATAGATCTAAGAGGAAGACTCCAGAGGGGTGGGGCTCAGGGTTACTGAAAAGGAGGGTTCTTGGGAATAGTTTCTAGCTTGGGTTCAACAAACTACTCTGAGCATGCTCAAAGACTCTTCTTCTATTGGCCCTTTTCACAGTTGCATTTTCTGTAGTGATGTGTTTTATATTGTTTTAATAATTAATGTTTTATATAGTAGTTTTATATTTGTTGTATTTTTATATCCTGTAAACCATCCTGAGTGTTTGAAGCGATAGGACAGGGTATAAATGAAACATATATACTCTCTCTCTACACGTGTGTGTGTGTGTGTGTGTGTGTGTGTGTGTGTTTGCTGGCTGTATGGTGGAAATGAAGTGCTTTTTGCCAAAGAATTGACTGTTGTTTGAAGGTGGGAACCCAGCTCCTGACGCAGAGTTGTTGATAACACTGTTGATCCTACATGGGAGAAAACTGGCCTAATAACATCGCAATGGGACAGTATGCATGATACAACAGCCCAGCATGGGTTGCTCACAGAAAGGCTGCAGTGTCCCTGTGTGACTACAATTTTGAATATACAACCCCCACTAGGAGATTTTCAGGTTGTGAGAACTCAGAGACCAGAGCTATGTAAAGATTAAGCAACCCTCTTATAACCCATCCACCAAGTTCAGGTTACACACCATGGCTCATCCTGGGTTATTTAAAGAATGGCAAGCTGCAGCACCTGCAGACACCAGAATGCAGATCCAACCCCTGCTTCAGCAGCGGCACATGGTGTGAGCCTGGCTACTGTGGGTTATGTGAGAGTTAAACAATTCATGCATAACTTTAAAACAGACCATGGGTTATGTGAACAAAAATTTCCAATGCCCTAACTAAATGATGTTATCTGAATTAGCATGTTTGCTCAACTCATTTTTACTTCCCAACACACATTATCCCTAATTAAGTACACAAAATGTCTCATTTAGTAAACAGAACTAAAAATGTAATTTATATCAATTCTATGTGCAATATAAAAATGTTTCCCAGTAGGTACAAGATATTTGAGATGAAATCCTGCTCAGTGAAAAATTAAATTAACAATACAATACAATTAAAATGTTATATTCAATAACATTCAAAACTTTATGCAGAAATAATTTTATTGAAATATTCATAAAAATGTAAAGATTAAAGCATATGCTTCTTAGCAATGTCTGCTTGTACTTAACAAACAGTGACTACACGATAGAGCACACTGTTTTCAGGATATATATATTCACAGGGAGCTGATAAATCTTAAACGAACAGCTTAATTCTCTTTTGCTGAAGCATCAGTGGCACCTTCAGCTTCACCTACTCTCTGAACTGCTTATTGGTTCCATTTCAAGTTGGAGAGATTCCGATAGAGAACAACTATTCTCTTTTGCTACTGGTTGGAAGGGGTTCTGTGTGGGCGCAGGCTGGAAAACTTGGGCAGGAGGGAGCCACTGAATTCATGCCCTGCCTGTGAGGATCCCATGGCCAATTCGTTGGCTACTGTGTGAACAGAATGAAGGACTAGATGGACCTTGGTCTGATCAGCTCTTCTTATATGAAAGAAACAGCAATTATAATCTTGGTATCACTTTCGGTTTCCCTACTTTGAAGAGGGTTACACTGTGTGTAAGTCTGGTCCGGACCCAGCCAGGAGTCAATCACACTGCACAGGAGGGGGCTGTCCAACCTTTTCCTGTTCCCCTATGGGCATCTGAGCACTAGGGTTGTTAACGCTTGCCTCAAAAAACAATGTAGGAAAGTTGACAGCCTTATATATAGCCCAACTAACATGACCGCCTGCAGTATGACAGCCCAGGCAACTATGGGTAACTCCAGACACATATGGTGTGAAAAAAATTAGGCCCCACATCACAGGTTAATCCTTGCACAAGCTACGCTTCCCAAGTTTCAGTGACACAACAACCTCTTGAGCAAGGCCTGCATTTTCAACCTGGTAACCAGCTTGCATATGGTAGCAAAAAGATGTCAGTACTAAGGGCCTGTATACCAACGTGTATTTGTGTATTGCCAAAGAAAAGAAAAAGGGAAGAAAGAGAAACATTTTGCAAAAAGATAACACCTGTGCATAAAGAACGTCAAGGTTTCTGCTCTCCCTTCCTAAAAGAGCTGGCCACCCCCTTGAACTGGCAGTCCAAAATGATGATTGTCCCCTGTAAAGTAGAATAAATGGCCATTCTCACATTTATCTGAATGTGAGACCTGCCTTTGCTTCCAGCAGAGAGGCCCTCGCTCTCCCCAACCTTTGCGAAATCATCAGTGTGGTGCAAGGAACAACTGAGAAAGAAACGTCCTTCTGAATGAAAAGCTCTGTTTCCTCTACTGCTGTATCCTCTGGCGCACTGATGGGAGAGGGAGGAAGTGAAACACCCGCCCTGGCTTACTGCCAAGGTGGGTTATCATGACATACAAACCCACTCTGTATATACCTTCTGTGAAGTCTCTATCCACAAAACCATTTTTCCCAAGCAAAGGTACTTTTGGCAGGGAGGATATTAATACCTTCCTCCTGAACACCAACTGATCCTATAGAAAATGAAATGCTAAAATTGACATAAGCAGTAATTCTGGGTTTTCTTTCCCTGAAGCATTCAGCTGTCAAATGAAACTTGGAAATAGTGCTGACACCCTTAAAAAATAAAATTTTGCTTCAATGTCTTCTGAAATGTTAAGGTGGGTGTGAAACAGTGCAATAAAATACTGTTCTACCTCCCTGCCCTGTTATTTTCCCCACTGGCTTTTATGACAACAGCTATTTGCATAAAAGCTCTGTCTTTGTTGCTGAGAGTTCATCAGCCCCTGCTGCTTTTTTCCCTGTGTGAAGCCTCAGTTGCACTGAAAAACAGCAACTGGTGGTGGTGCTGGCAAGGATCCCTTCCTTCCTCTGGGAGGGAGAGAACCTCAGAGACATGAGCCTTAACTGCTTCAGTGCTGCTGGGTCCCACAACCGACCGGGCTGAATCGGCCTGTGAGCCGCCACGGGGACATTGCTTCTGCTTCCGTGTGCTACAAGATGGTCCCTCCAACAAGCCTCCTGAGTCCCCTCACCTACACCTACACTTGAGCACAGTTGGCCAAGTGCAGATCTAAGGACTCTGCAAATATTTGTGCAAATTAGGGAGGGATATTAAAATAAAGGTTTACTGGCCAGGGGCAGCCTCTCCAAGACACTGCTGCAGTGCTTCAGGGGGGTTGTCAGTGGGGACTGTGGAAAGCAGCTGTCAAGCTGCCCTTTACAATCTCTGGAACTAAAGCGGTGGGGAGCCAAAACTGGCTCTCAGCCATGCTGGGCAGAGCCTTCAGCCAGTGCCAGCCACACCGCAGCGTTGCTCAGGCACTTGTGGTTCTGCTGGCACGGGCCATGGTGCACTTGGCAAAGAGGGGTTGCCACTCCTGCTGAGTGTCTTGCTGGCCACTAAACAGTACCCATGGTGGGATCAGTCACGTGGGCTCAGACGACACAAGAACTCACCATGGACAAAAGAAGCACCTGTAACAGCCCATGGGTTCAAAGGGGAGCTTGGGGAGAAGTCACTGGGGGTAGTCTGAGTCTGGGCCATATGGCAATCTGCATGGTACTCGTATGTTTTCATGTCACAGCTAGCAGGACACAAGTGTTCTAGTTCCTTGAATAATGTGAAAACTGCGTCCAAAAATGACACGCACCTCAAGCCAGAAACCAAAGGAAAACTTTTCAGTGACCTACCAGGACATTAGAGTTTACATTCTGTCTGCTGCTATGCTAAACTACAATGCAGTATGACATATGAATGCAGCCAATGTGTAATTAGCCTGAAAGACCGACATTTCAGAGAGAATGACAGATGGATTCTGTGCATGTTTACTCATATGCAAACACCACCAAATTCAGTAAGACTTACTCCCCTGTAAATATGCATATGAATAGAATATATCTCCTATTATCAATTATTTGGAACTCTCATTTGACCCTGGGTATAAGTACACCTTGGCAATTTTCCCTTTCAACAGAAAGTCCAATTTCCTAAGACTTCATCAATAGATAGCTGTAGGAATCTGTTTCACAGCTTGCCTGCCTGCTTAAAATAGCAGCTGCTCTTATTTCTGTTCCGCATTTTGTTTGTATTAGCAATCACATGCATGTCTATGCTTTGTTCATGCATTAATTTAGGTATATCACAGATACTGCTCTTTGTAAGTTCTTTTATTTCTTCCTAGATTTTAATCTTCCATATTTATCATGGATAGATACCCAAGTGCCTATTACATTCCTACTGCTAATACCCCAGCAAAGACGCGTACTAAGCCTCTGGTCATTTCATAAACAGGGCTGCCCAATACAAGACATACTTGCAGCAGCCATACAAGGAACCACTCACCTCATTCTAGCTGGCTTTTCCCCAGGAAGCCATAAATGCCAGGAGAGCTCCTCTAGGAAGTATTAAGTAAGAACTTTTGAGGCAGTTTGGCTGACTTTCAAAGAAGTTGCCCAACTGTGGATTTTTTTTTTCTCATGCACTAATGCAATTCTCCTTGGGTTGTTT